GCGGGGCTAGGGCGGGGTTTCGTCCGCAGGGGAGCGAATGCTCGAGCTCAGTTCTCGGGCACCCGCCCCGCCTGGAGCTCTCGGCTCCTGGGCTCCCGCCGGCGCCCGGTCTCGGAGCTGCGTCGGGAACGCGGGAACTTGCGCTCCCGTGCGTGTGCATGTGCGTGGGCCAGTACTGCCCCTGGGTGCGCGCGATTCGGGCGCTGAGCTCGTCCTGGCTTTTGGGCAGGTGTCCCGGGCACCGTCGCTCAGTGTGCTCTCGACCGAACACCCAAGCGCGGTTCCCGGACGCCAAGGGCCTGGTTCCTGTCGCTGCGGCATTGTTTATGGGGAGCAGGCATTTGCAGAACAAATGAAGGGCCATCTTTGATTTGGAATGTAAGGGGCAATTCCTGTCACCTAGGACAATTTGCACAACCCCAAAGCTCTGGACCTGCCAGATTAATGGGTGCCCTTGCGTTTACCCGGGTGCTTCCCCCTCTAGTAGTCCTGCACTTGGCGCTCCCCTGGGGAGTTCTAATAGCTTGGTACTGTCAGCACATCCATGGAGATGTTATAGCTCCTTTGCTGTTGAACCTTGCGTTCCTTGTGTTGCACGGCCTGAGTCTCTTTAAGTGCTCTCAGGTTTAGAGCCTGGGAAGTGCCTTTAGCTCCCACATTTCTGTTCATCCTACAGTAGTGGCGGCTGGACTGAGCTGTCGTGCTCCTTAGAGACACTTCTGCTACATTATCACTCTTCTAACAGTCTGTCAAATCACATGAATAACATCTGAAATTAGGGCAGGACCGTGGGCTTATGGGAAGATGATGTGCCTGTGCTAGGCACATAAGTAAAGACGAAGGAATATTGTGATAGCCTCTGTTTTCTAAAGGCCATCTGTTCAACCTCAGCTGTAATATTAACCAGTACTGGTTTAACGTCTCCCAAAGTGTTTTGACACACATCTTCAGATTTTTATTTTCGGTGTATGAGTGCATTGCTTGCATGAATGTATGTGCACCACGTGTGTCTGGTGCCAGTGGAGGTCGGAAGAGGGCGTCACACACCCCCCCCCTCCCCGGAACTGGAGCAGGATATTGTTAGTCACTATGTGGATTCTGGGAAGCAAACCTGAGTCCCCTGCAAAAGTATTAAGTGCTCTTAACAGCTGAGCCATCGGTTACAGCTCGCGCACGCGTCCTTTGATGCTCACAATAGTAGTTGTGTTAGCAGTTGTGGTGGAAGAGTCGACGTAGAATAAACCTGTCCTAGAGTCAGGCATATCTGTTTCAAATACCGAATAAACTAACTTTTCTAAGCCATGTTTTTGGTTTTTTTTAAATGATTTTTTTATTATATTTAAGTGTGTGTGTGTGTGTGTACTGTGTGTGTGTGTGTGTGTGTGCTCAAACATGTGCATATGAGTGCATGTGACATTTGGAATCCAGAGGCATTGGATCCCCTGGAGCTGGAGTTACAGACCGTGAGCCACCTGACGTGGGTCGTGGAAACCAAACTCTGGTCCTCTGGAAGTGGAGCTAGAACTCTTCTACTGAGTCATCTCTTATCAGAGATCAGCTTTGACAACAATATCATTCACCAGGGTAGGGGCATGGAGATTATAAAATAAGTAAAGAGAATGAGGACATGAGTGAAAATAATAAGACAGAAACACAGGATGGCACCAGGAGGGAATTCCAGTGAATACTAAAATCCACCTGCGTTTAATTTTCCATACACTTTTATGCCCCAATACAGCAGGGGGAAGAAGACAAAAGACTGCTTTAACATGATACAAAGGACAGCTAGAACAGTTATTTGTTTCAGTACTTTGAGACATCAAGTCATTAATATTCTGTTGCTTAGGCTGTGAACCCACCCTAGACCAAGTATCTTGAAGGCAGCCACTCTCTAAGTCAAACCCCCTATCTCGAAATAAGGAGCTTGAATTTCCTGGCTCCTGATCAGGGTGGAGTGGATCTACCTATACGGGCCATCTTAAAGTCAAAAAGACTAAGTAACCACACCCTAGGTCAGGGTGTGTAGCCACACTTGTTGTCAACAGATTTGAACTAGCTAAAACTCTCTGACCTTCAGACAAGATGGAAGTAGGCTCACATTTTTGGGCCTCCAAAATCTCTCCAGCCTTTTAAGCCTCACCCTATTGTTTTCTGAAATGGAGACAAGGAAAACAGGACAGTTGTGAGGATTGGCCCACACAGTACCCAGGCATGTTCTTAGTGCAAATATTAGTCCCCTGTTGTTAAGGATACCCATACCATCCCTGGCGTTGGGTTCCCATGGCAGCGGCGGAAGTGGTTGGTCATCATACTTGACACTGCCTATTTGCTTTCTTCTTGTTTGCACTGCTCTGAGCTCACACTATAGTCCTGCCTGTGCTTTGTTTCTAGGGGACTAATAGGAACGCACTCATGGAGTTGTGTTGTGAGGCTACAGAGCGACGGCTGAAGTTCACGATGCGGGAGCATGGCTCGTTTGCAGTAATCTTCACGGCCACCACTGCTGCTGCTCTTGGGCCACAACTGGAAGGGCTTCACTCTCTGGATTTATTGTCTGCCTCGTGTAGGGATGGTCTTTCTGCACATGGAAAATAATCTGTCCCTGTGCCTTGACCAAGCTGGTGAAATTAAATTAGTTCAGAGAGTTCGTAAGCATTAGAACCATGAAGGGCCTGACATTTTTAGTTCTGTGTCACTTATTCCTTGCATTTATGTTCATGCTACCAGTGTTCTCTGGCCTGGTCCTTGCTTATCATGGAGACTCGCAGGAACAAATATAATAAAGAGGGGCCATTCTCATGGGAAAGAGGAGCAGGGGTAGGAAATACCTGCCTATGCTACCATCCTCAGCACATATGACACTCATAGAAAACATCAGTCAAGTACCAGCCGATAGCAAGAATCAACCTAGAATTCAGTATAAAAGGGTACATTGTGGAGTTAGTAGGGATCAAGGCCCTCCTGAAATACATTGAACTCTGAGGCCTTTGGTAGAAGTAGTGTTCCTGTTCTACTCACAATGGCTGTCATTCTAGGTGGGAGACAGCTGCTGGGGTCATTCAGAGTGTGCTGGTTTTCACATAGGATGCTCCCGGCCTCTGAAAGGAAACCTGTTCCTGAGGATTGTGAGACTGGACTGTGGGACATACGGTGTGGCGTGTGGGATGTCAGGGCACTGACGGATACGAAGCAGCCTTTTAAGGACAGTTGAAAGTTGTCCTGCTATTCGGGATTCTTAGCAGTGAGTCGAGCTGAAGTCTCCATCACAGCGACCGTGCGGTCTATTGTTGTTTTCGACTATGGATATAAGTAGTGGAGACTGGGCAGCTTTTGAATAGTGCCTTTGAGTAACCTATATTATTCGGTTCCTCATAAAGGAACGTTTGGGTCACTGTCTCCTCTACTGCCTTGAATGACCAACAGATCTTAAAGAATGAAACCCATTGCAAATGAGCTGAACCTGGCCAAGTCCAGGTAAGCAAAACAACTCACCCACACTCCTGTTAGTAGGGAATTCATGTTTGTTTTGTAGGCTACTGGGAGACTGTATTTTGTGGGTTTTGGTACAAAATTCAATATATCAAAAAGGAAATCTCACCTAGTGCCATCAGGACCCTTCCATCCTACTGCCCTGGAAACCCCGGGTACAGAACGAAAATGACATGATCCCATGGAGATAAAGACGTACACATTCAACAAATGCCCATCCAGGGCCTTAACACAAAAGCTTAAAAGCACACCCTACTGTGAAGAAGGAACGGGGAAAACTCGACTTAAATGGGAAATCGGTAAAAGCTTCATCATATGCTTAAGAGCTATAGGATGACAGAGGAATAGCAGAGGAGAGTGGGGGAACAAAGTGTCAGACAACCAGTGTTTTAGTCAGAGGTCTCTGAAGTAATAGAACTTACAACATGAATCTCTATATAGGAAGGGGGCTTAGAACAGACCACAGCCAGGTAATCCAACAGCGGCCGACTGTGAACCCAAAGTCCAAGAATCCAGTAGCTGCTCAGTCCACAGGCTATGTGTCTCTGCTGGTCTCCAGTAGAATCCTGAAGAAGCAGGTTCTAATGCTAGTGAAGGGATGGGTTGTTAGCAAGGCGAGGACAAGCAGGCAAACTGCAAAAGCTCCCTTCTTGCATGTCCTTACACAGACTTCCAGGTGTGGCCCAGGTTAAAGGTGTGTCTTCCCCCTGCTAGATCCAAATTAGAGGTTTGTCTTTTCCCAGCTCGAAAGATCTGGATTAAAAGCATGTCTTCATTACTCGAAGCTCCAGATTAAAAGTGGATCTTCCTATTTCAAATTAAGGAAAAAAATTCCTCACAGTTATGGCCTTTCT